GCCGGACACGCGGCTGGCCAGAAACAGCTGCTCCAGAGTCACGGGATGCGATCCGCGTTCACCAACCACCATCTGTTCCAGCGCGATCGCCAACGGGGGTCTGCGGGGATGGCTCAGCAGCTCGGTAGAGTCCCTGATAAAGATCCACTGGAAGGACTGAAAGTCGTCGAGCTTCAGATGGATCGTCAGCACCAGCAGCTTCAGGGCCTCCAAGAGCTCGTCATCCACGGACGAGTCTGTGGCCGGCAGGGGCTCTCTCGTCGCCTTGGCCAGCGTTTTGACGAGCTCGTGGACCAAAACAATCCAGAGGGACGAGAGATTCTTTTGCGAAACGCGTAACAGCAGAATCTGGATAAAGAAAAACACCTGGGCATTGACGACCGGCGACGACAGCTTGAGGGATTCCGCAATCTTTTCCTGGAACGACGGCAGACGCACCAGATAGTGGTCGATTGGGCCAGCAAACACCAGAAAGGCCAGGCGCCGGAGCATCTACCGTTAGCGACTGCTGGCCAACGCACCGTTCCCCGCTCGGCATACTCGAGGTCCTTTGACGCAAAGATGCCCGCCGATCCGGCGTTCGAGACCTTCAACAGCACCTCGGTCATGTACCCCTGATCGTGGAGGACCAGCGAATGGACAATGGTTTTCCAGCAGCTCAGTGCCGAAAAGCCCACCATAAAGAACTGGTCGTCCATAAATGCCTGCCAGACATCCTTTTTCCAGGCCTTGAATCCGTACGGAATATTCGCCAGCAACACAATGATTTTGAGGACCGTGCCCGAATGCAAGACATTTTCTCTAGCGTCAGCCAGCAGCAACATACACGTCTTTGCTCCTCAGAGCTGGGCCGATTACCGCTTGCGCCAGGTGCGAGATGAGCTGGACCACTCGTTCCGGATCAAGTCTGCTGCGAAGGCTGGCGGTGCCGGCGCCGGCGAGATAGGACAGCATTTCTCTGGCCGCTGTCTTCCCGCTTGGCCTAGCCATGGTGTTGGAAGAGCCGCTGTGCCGCGGCTGGTCAGGAGTGTTCTCTTTTCGCCGGTCCCTGTCAAACATCTTTGCTGCAGCCTGCACACAGGCCTCGTACAGCTTGCAGTAGACGTCACTGCTTTCCTTCCACGTCTTTCTGTTTTCGAGCGCGACCATGTCAAACAAGCGGTCCAGCACCGAGAGCGAAGGGAGAATCAGGTGCCGAAACGCAGCGGGCTGGAGACACACCTCTTTCAAAACCGGGTATAGCGACATCCAGCACTGGGTCAGCAGCCCCAGATCCTTGGGTATATGGGGGAAAAAGTCGTGGACAAACTCGAGCTCGTCCACAGCCGCAATGTCAACCACAAAGGCTTGGTCGGCATGGAGAGCCAGGCGTTTCTTCAACGACACCGCAACGGTCGAAAATATCACCGACACCCCCAGGCCGGTAAACGACAGCAGCTGGAACACGCGTCGTCGCGCTTTGCCATCCTGGATGCTGATCCAGGCATGCACCAGCGCCTCGAGGCAGTACTCCAAATTGGAATTTGCCACCTTTTTTACAATGCAGCTGGCCTTGTCCAGAATCTGCTTTGAAAAGACGGACGCGCTCAAGTCGAGCGAATTCAGCGTGCGGACGAGGGCGGCAAACACAAGCGCCATGTGGGAGAAGCACGCATCGGCACACGGCGCCGCGAGCGTCTGCGTCAGCACAAAGTCGAGCCCGCCCAAGAGAACGACGACGTCGTCTTCTCGCGTCACCACGCTGGCAGCTCCCCTAGTAGCGGCGTGGCCCGCTATCTCTGCGGCAAATTCCTGGAGCACAACCAAGATGGTGCTCTCAAAATGATCAAAGCACCAGGGTATGCGCGACTGCACTGTCCGAACCCAATACACCAAGTTTCTGCCCACCACGGAGCGACGAAATGGCATGAGAGTCCGCACCATGTCCTCCTTGTCCTTTGGCGTGGGATGGAGTCGATCCAGCAAGGCAGCTCGATATACATATGCCGAGATGGCATCAAACGCCAAGAGAGTGTCCGACTGGATGGCGTGACAGGGCGTGTTTTCCAAGTAGTGCAAGAGAGACTGGTAGATCGCGCTGCCGATTGGTTCGCGGCCAGCGGTCTCTGGACTGGTGGGAATGAGAACACACAAGAGCCGAGATGCTCTCGCCACAATGGACTGCTGCAGCGCTGGCGAAAAGCCGGATTCGCATATGGGGCTGGCAACGATAAACAGCAAGCAGTAGAGCAGGAGCGAGTCGGCCAAGGTCAGCGGGTCGCTGTCTGGGACAGAAGGCCAGGGCAGCCGGTAGACAGCAGGACGGGATTCGCTGCTGAGGCACTCTAGCAAATGTTTCTCGCAGCCAGTCACTAGCTGCAGCAGCACTTGGAATGCATAGTCCACCTGTGCCTGATTGAACGGCTTCTGCAGCCAGATCCTGGTCTTTGCCGAGCCTGTTTCAAATCGAAACTCGATGTCGCCATGAGCCACGATTTCCAGCAATGGAGCAATAAAGAGACGGAAGGAGGTGACATAGTTGCCGATCCAGGCCATGGCCTGAGCGCGTCCCGGGCCGCCTTCGTCGAGGAGCAGTTGGTATATCTGGAATGTCGGGAGACACAGCGGGAGCTGCTCGTTCCGCGGCAGCTGTTCGTTGTGGTGCCAAATAAACCCAAACTTGTCAAACACCCCGTCGCTGCTGGACTGCTGGATGAGCTTGGCAACCTTTTGCTCGGCATCCCTTGCGCCAATGATGTCGCGGATTCTCCCGAGCAGTACCAGCATGGTGTGGCTGTCCGGCCCAAGACTGGGGTCCAGATAGTCCCAAATCTTTTCCAGCACCCGGTGGAACAGCGCTCTCTCGGTGCACTTTAGAGCCCGTGCGATTTTGGTGAGGAGGTTCATGCCGGGGAGAATCATGCCCAGCTCGGTGGCATTCAGCGTCAGTGTCAGCAGCGAGGTCCACCACTCGCTGGCCGGCCACGAGTCGTGCACGTAAAACTCGGACAGTTTTTCAACAAGACTGCAGATCCTGCTCCAGATGAGGGCCATGGTGGCGTCCTGCTTTGTTTCCCAGTGCCTTTGGAAAAAGACCAAAAGCTCAAACACATTCTCGCTGGCGTCCTCGATGATGGGCCGGCCCAACACAATCCGATCAAACAGAGCCTTGCGGTGGCTGTCGTGGTCGTCCTGGGAATGGTAGATGAGCGAAATGTCCTTGATGCTAATGACACGTCCAATCGACATCAGCGGCGCAGAGGGCGAAAACGGAGACGAGTCCACCGCACTGCGGACGGTTTCCTCCTGGCTCGGGCCGCGAAATTCGGACAGGCTCCAGGTGTTGGTATAGACGGTGCTCGAGAGGACGGTGGAGGTCTTTTGTGCCAGCGCCAGGGCAGCGTCGAGGTCCTCAAACCGCACCTTTCCCTCGGCCATCAGACACGTATTCGAGTAAAAGAAAAACGGCAGATGGACGCGCTGCGTTTCTGCCTCGGAAAACAAAAAGTGGTCCATGAGGAAGTGAATGATGGCAAATCGCTGCAGTCAGCGCGGGCATTCTTACGTCGGGCTCGTCTCGACGGCGGATCAGCCAAAAGTGGATTGTTTTCCACAGCAGGTAGGGGTTGATGGCAGACACCAGCACCGTTGCGATCGGCATGATGGCCTGCAGCGTTTCGGGGCTGGTCGAGCATTTCGCATGCAGGGCTTGCAGCATGACCACCAGAACGCTGTCCGCAATCTTTTCCCCAAAGTGCGCGCGGTCCAGAAAGTGCAGCAGTATCTTGTAGGGCTTTTGCAGCTCTGCCAGGTCGGGGGCTGGCCGGAGGAAGAGCGACTTGAGGATCGTGGCAACCTCTGCCTCGCAATCTACATCATGAGCCATCGTGCCGATCGCGGCCACCTTGCAGAATGCTGTACAGCCGTCTGTTTAGCGACATGTCCTTGGAGAGCACCACGGCAATGGCCGACTCGATGATTTGGTGCTTTTCAGCAACGGAAAACGAGCTGCGTCAACCAGTCCTGCGCGCTACCTGTGTTTAAAGTGAAACTGCGTCACCAGTAGCTCCAGCCCGCCCCGCTTGACCAAAAAGGCCCCGTCTTCCACCAGCGCACACAGAGCGTTGACCAGCAGCTGCGAGTGGTTGCCGCAGATAGCAGCCATGTCCTCCCGTGTGCGGATCTTGGGCATCTTTTTGAGCAGGAAATTGCAGGCGGCAGTTCTGCACTGCACTGATCCGCTGACGGCCAGCCAGAACGACGCGTAAAACGACGGCAGATTGGTGGCCTGGATGATCTTGTCCAGCAAAAGAGCCGCCTTTCAGGTCAGCACTGCAAGCTGCGCACCTGGTCAAAGAACTCGTTGCCGTCTTCGTCGAGAAACGCCAGCAGCGAGAGGATCACGGCCTTTAGCGACGGAACCAGCCGCGGCCCAAGGGGTATCAGGTAGGTGAGGTATATTTGGAGAATCAGCGGCTTGACAGCCATTGATGCATGCGAGGTGAATGGGAAAAGCCCAAGAGACCACAGTGGCAAATCTTCAGCGAGCTGCTCCGACTAGCAGGTTAGACTGCCGGCCATCGTCGCCGTACTTTGCTTATTTCAAAAACTAGGGTATAGGTCTCTAGGGCCTTGGAGTGGACTCCTGCTGGCAGCGCTGGATTCAAGGTCTGCGCCAGTCGCTTTGACAGCAGCAGCTTGCGAGGGATTATTTGGTACCGCTTGAAGGTGGCCAATATTTTGGTGATGCGGGCCAGAAATCCAATCATATCTTGCCACTCTGGCCGCATTACGTGCCGGGCTGCCTACCAGATATGGCATCGAAGGAGGATAAAACCCTATCCATGTGCTGCTGGTATCGTTTGTACTCGGGGTCCGTCTGCAACGCCGCTATTGACATTAATTCGGGCAAGCCAAGCAAGCCTGCACGACGCAGCCGTAGATCCAAGCGTGCCGGTGCATTGCTGGCCCGACAGAGATGGCAGTGATGCAAAAAGACAGCAGTCAGACAAAGCAAAAAGTGGAGGTTAAGGGGTTTGAACCCTTGGTCTTTTCCATGCGAAGGAAACGAGATACCACTTCTCCAAACCCCCGCACTGCAATCGCCAAAAACCACCGTCTGAATGGATTCGCAGCCAACTCGCAGCCAGCTCGCAGCCAGCCTCCAGACTGCCACTCTGCAGTTGACCGGGGTTTGGTGCTGTACCCACTGTAATAATTGGTGGCAGCAGGTACGAGAGCGCATGCGTCGTCTTTTTTTTTCCCCAACAAAAAGAAACGCACAGCAAGCATGGCAGGAACCATGGCAGGAACCATGACGAGACTACTTGCCATGGTTCCTGGCATGACTCACAAGACAGCACGATGATGACACTATGCAACCGCTACTCTTAATGTATATGTTGACATGCTTTTTCACCAAGATCGTTGAGTGCTTCAGTCTTTCAAATGTAAGTTAGGATATAAAAGATAAGGAAATGACGACAAACAGAAAGTGAAACTCATGATTTCTTAACTACAATTCACTGATCCACACTTGAATTGAATTGAATTCTTGTTAAAACAATCACTAATTTCAGCAATTCAATCATAAATTTGTGTTTGAAATGATTTGAGTTCACGTGATGTTCAAGTAATTTGCGTCTGATGGAGTGGTGTTGAAGACCTCGCCTGGTCTGTACACTCAAGACCACATCCCTGCTGACTCGGTTTGACTGATGAATAAAGACTGACTTTCCCAAACTTATGGATTCCCTCACTCCGCATGTCGACAGGCTGGTGGCCAGGCTGTCTGAGCTGGGCATCAAGCCAAAAAAAACTAGGGCGGAAATGGAAAAGCAGCTCAAGGTTGGGTGGTCTGACTCAGTCCCAGAATGCCGCAAAGAGGGAAAATGCAAGACAGGACAGTGCTCGGGAGAAAAGCGACCGGTACCATTAGTGTCTGACCGTCAGGCTGCCAGAGTACTATCTCGTGTTTGATGTAGAAGGTAGCACCATCAAGTAATGCTAGGTACAAGCGTTCATCCAATGGCTAGGCACCTGCGACAAAGATACCCGGTTCGACTACGAAAGCGAGATCATCGAGTTTCCGGTGGTGCTCATCGAGGCTGCCAAGCTGGAGGTCGTGGCCGAGTTCCACCGCTATGTCCGGCCCATCCTGAACCCAATCCTTTCCGCCTTTTGCACCTCGCTGACTGGGATAACACAGGAGATGGTGGAGCAGGCAGAGCCGTTCCACGTCGTGTACAGCGCGTTCAACGAATGGCTGGCACAGTATGCAGCGCCGCCCTTTCGGTCGTGTCTCTTTTGCACGGATGGTCTGTCCAGCCGGAGCTGACCGCCAGGGCCGTGGGATCTCAGGGACTTTATAGAAAAGGAGTTTGTGTACCACGGCTACGATCGGTACGGTGTCCTTCCTGACCGCTAGTCCCGAGTTCATGTGGAGCGTCCTGGATGTGCGAAAGGCCTTTACTGCCGCCCTGGGCACGCCATCGGGAAACCTGTCGGCCATGCTAACCACTCTGGGGCTGGTGTTTGAGGGCAAGCAGCACAGCGGGATCGACGATGCCCGAAACATTGCCCGGATCGTGCTGCATCTTGCCCGCAGCGGGTTTCGTCTGGAGGCAAACACGAACCTGCGCAAGCACAAGATTAAGCGGGGCCACTGGGCAAAGCTGCGAAAAGATCCCTCGTAACCAAGCATTACTACTCTCTTAATAAAGCGTGGATGTTGTTCAATCAGCCAACCGCTGCGTACGAAGCGAATCAGTGCTGGATTGCCAGCGAGCCAGATCGCGTTGCAGTGTCCCTGCATAATCGGGCAGCTTGAAATTGACCTGGTGGCTGGCTGTTTGGCCTACAGACCTGATGGTTGCTGTGGCCCATCCCGAACTTCTTTTATTGAAACTCATGATTGACGTTCACTCGCACTACTATCCTCCGCGGTACCTGCAAGTAAACAGCGGTTATTGTTAATTTGCAGATTCTCAAGAGCCGCAGCGTGGTGCCAAGAATCTTTACCAACGACGAGGGACAGGACCGTCTCATTATCCTCCCCAACGAGGATGTTGACGACTCCACCAGAACGGGCCGTCCTATTGGCCCCGAATACTACGATGCCGACGTCAAGCTGCGCTTTATGGAGCTGCACGGAATCACCCAGACGGTGCTGTCCCTCGGGAATCCGTGGCTGGATTTTCTGCCTGGAAGCGAGGCAGCTCCTCTTGCCAAAGAGCTAAACAATGATCTCCAGTCGTACTGTCTCCAGCACAAGAAACACTTTTATGGCTTTGGGGTGCTGCCAACCAACTCTCCCCGCGACTGTGTGGAAGAACTAGGCCGCATCAGCAAGCTGGACCGGCTTCGTGGAGCGATCGTAGGACGGGACTTGCTGATGTGTAGATTGGCACGCACGGCTGTGGAAAGGGACTGGACGATCCGGAGTGGGAACCGGTGTTTGCTGCCGCCGCCAAGCTTGGCCTGATGCTTTTCCTGCATCCGCACTACGGCATTCCCAGTGAGGTGTACGGGCCGGCTCCAAACGGCCATGTTTTGCCGCTGGCACTGGGATTTCCCTTTGAGACTACGATCGCCGTGTCTCGCATGATCTTGGCTGGTGTCTTTGACCGCTATCCCAATCTGAAGCTGCTGCTGGCCCACTCGGGCGGCTGCATCCCCTTCCTGGCCGGCCGTCTTGACTCCTGCGTCGACCACGACCCCCACGTCGCCAAGCGGCTGCAGCACCCACCGTCGTTCTACCTCAAGCAGCTCTACTATGATGCAGTCAACTACCACGAGCACGGGCTCAGAAACGTGGAGAGCCTGGTGGGGCGAGACCGAGTCATGTTTGGAACCGACAGTAGGCCAGCGATGCTCACGGTAGATCCATTCTTTCCGCCACTTGATGTCGAAGCGACCGCTTGGGAAAGCGTAAACTCCAACCTGCGAGCCATCAAGCTGGCGTTTGGCGAAGACGACTACGACATTCTGGCCGGAAACGCAAAGCGAGTCCTTGGATTGTAATAAACCACTGTTTACTCAGTGCGCCGTGATGATTCGCGACACCCCGTCGTGGCCAATGGCCAAAACATCTTCAATCCGCACACCGCCCATGTTTTTCCACTTCTCCACCAAGTCCCAGTTGATCAGCTCCTTCACCCCAAGGCTGTCGTTTCGGGCCAGGTCGAGGAGATAGGGGATGAAGTACACTCCCGGCTCGATCGTGTGGACGTGGCCGCTCGCCAGCTCGTAGTCGCTCTTGAGAAGGAGAGGATACTGGTCACGGAGCCGGGCGGTGCTGGTTGTGTCGTGCGTCAGTTCCACTCGGGCTGGGACGGGATCGTGGACCTCCAGTCCCACCGGGCTAGCGTCAGCATCCTCAGCGCAGCGTACTGGCCAACCCCATGGGGCATGAATATGGAAATCACTCCCGACGCCACCAGCGTGTCCAGGTCGTCGGAAATCAAAAACTTGTTTTTCCAGAGCCCCTCCGTCAGCTTTTCCAGCGTGTCGTTGACCACTTTGCTCCACTGCTGTTATGCCGCACCGCACTTGCCTTGTTGCCGACCTTGTGGGCTTTGATGCCGGCCAGCTGCGCGTCCAAGACAATGGTCGAGAGCAGCCGGCGCTTTTTGCTATCTTTTCGTGCATAGGTGCGGGTGAGGTCAGAGGCATAGCCCTGGTATGCTCCGGCCGCGTCGATGAGAATCAAGTCCTTCTTGGGGATCTCCAGCAGGCCGCTGTCTGGCGTCTGTCCGGTCGGAAAGTGCAGCACGGCAGCGTGCTTGCCCGATCCCACAATTGGATTGTATGCCTGGAGGTTGCATCCGCAGGTGGTCGACACGTACGAAAACAGCGCAGCCAGTTTGCTCTCTGTCCAGGGTTAGTGCGCGGCCCCTACCCGAGACATGGGAAAAGTCGCGGATGGCGTCTTCGACGATCTTGTGGGAGTAGGAAGCAACCTGGGAAGCATACTTGAGCATAATCAGCTCCTCGGGGGTTTTGACAAAGCGGCTCTCGAGAAAGGCCTGTTCCACGGCCGCCGAGTACTCCACGTTAATGTCCAGCTCTTTGCAGATGGCCGCCAGATTCTTGCTGGGAGAGCGCAGGACCTGGTTTCGGACCAGCTCTGGCAGATTCTCCATGTCCACCACCTGGTGCAGGTCGTGCAGCTGGGCTAGCTCGGTGCGATCAATGGTCGATCCGGAGAAAACAATTTCTCGGCGAGAGTACGAGGGGAGCACCACGGAATATGTCGTGAGCGAGGCGGTCTTGTTGATGAGCACCAGCGACCCGGCAACATCGTATTTTCCTGCCCAGTTAGCATGCCGGTCGCCCACCCAAGACGTAAATGATGTTGGACGTCTCTCGCCACCCTGGCAGCTCCATATCTAGGTTAGTGCACGCAACCCACCGCTCTCGTCCCGCAGCACCACGAGCGATGAGGGGAGAATGACCAGTCCGGATTCCAAATGGGCTTCCAGTCGAGCACGGTTGGCCTTGATCAGCTGTAGCTGCGTGAGCTTGGGCGGCTCCAGAGCACAGACAAAGTCCAGCGAGTGCTTGGCAGATGCTTCGGGCCGGGAGAAATGAAGTAGCGTCCACAGGAGAAAGACGGCGCCGACAAACAGGGGGAGGAAATGCAAGCGATGGCTTTTACTGCGAGTTTTCATGGGTTCACCAGTTTGGGCAAGTGCCAAATGCTTCGTGCTGCACCCACTACGTCTTTTTCCCAATAGCGTAGGGCTATCTACGTGCTGGTTCGTTGAACCAACGACAGCAGCGGCTGGTGGTTTGATATCCCGCCAGATCGTGTAGGATGAAGGTGTCCGCGTTCAAGCAAGACTCTGGCTAATCTCATCAAGTGTTTTGGTGGCACATCAAGCGGTACACTTTATGTTGGTTTTGCACCACCCGCAACGTGACTGGCTCACTTCACCAAACGACCAACGCAGACGTATTTGCCGGCAAAGAACTCGCCCCACTCTTTGAGGGCCTCGCGCTCCTCCGCGTTCAGGTCGCTCAGATCATCAATTGGTGCGTCAATGTCCGTCAGCATATCCTACGCCATCAGCGCCAGAGTCTTGCCTCGTCA